AGGTGAAGGTTGGGGAAATGGATACGGGTGGCTTTCCACCAACTTACGGAACTTCTAATAAATGAGGAGTTTGGAAGCATTGGTATTCTTCTCTGAAATTTAAAAAAATATATCTACACGTGGATCATTTCATTTATTGTCACATTCCATTAACCTTTGACCAACTCATTTGGATAAAGAGGAATTTAACCGAAGTCATGATAAAACCTTGATGGAATTCAAATGAACTGCAGTTCGAAGCAGAAAGACTGAGGTCATTATATTAGGCAAGAAGAACAATATTACAGTGTCAAATAAGATAGTCTAATTAGAACAGAGCCCTTTGGCATGGACCTCAGAAAACGGACACCTTCCTCTTCTTTACTCCCCATCTGACAGTTTGTTTTTCTACTAAAGACAGTTCTTGTCTGTAAAGATAATGAAAAAAATCAGGAAATGAGAACTTTGCCCCAGCCAACCACCAGTAACTACAGAATGTTGGTTTGAAAACAAAACAAAACAAACAAAAAAAAAAACCCTCTTTATAAATGCATAATATCAGGGCACAGTGGTGTACATCTATCATCCTAGTCTCAGGAGGCTGAGGCAGAGGGATCACAAGTTCAAAGCCAGCCTCAGCAACTTAGTGATGCCCTAAGCAACTTAGTAAGATTCTATCTCAAAATAAAATATAAAAAGGGCTGGGGATGTGATCCAGTGTTTAAGCGCCCATGGGTTCAATCTTTGCTACAAAAATAAATAAATAAATACAAGGAAGCCACAGAGAATATATTACATTTATGTTAAATACAGACCACCTCAAGTGTCCTAAATAGAATAATAAATACTTCCTAAGGGAAGTATTCATGTTACCTCAAGTGTAGCATACACGTGAATATACATATGAATGACCTACTCTCCGCTGATACGAGTTTGTACATTTGGGAATATGAATTCTTATGGTTCCACCACTGGAATATGGTCAGAAGGAGCAACATCACAGAAAAGACCTGGTTTCCACTTGTCTACTGAGTGGCCTTGGGAATGTCCCCAGACCTCTCTGGTTATTAGTTTCCTCATTTACCAAAAGTGAAAAATAACAACATACCTATGGCAAGCTGATAGTTGGGATTAAATACAGCAAAGCCCTTTTTAAAATGATCAATGAATATGGAAACTTAAGTTGTTATTATTATGATTCCTGGTATACATATTTTCATTATATTATCACTCAATCTGTTTATGTTAAATCATGTCTCCATTCTTTGAATCACATATGAAAAATACTAGACAGAAAATGAAGAATAAGTTTTGATTTCAATGTCAAATTCGTCATTTCCATTTTTAAGCCTATCAAGGTTTATTCTTTTAAAAAAAATATTTTTAGATGTTGATGGACCTTTATTCTATTCATTTATTTATATGCAGTGCCTCACACATGCTAAGCAAGCAGCTCTACCCTTGAGCCACAACCCTAGCCCCTAAGAAGGCTTATGCTTAGCCTTTTTAGCACTTTTTAGTTAATCCTCAAAACAACCCTATGAGGTAGGTAGTACTGTATCTCTAAACTTACAGAGGAAGAAATTGAGGCATTAAAAATGTAAGCAAGTTGGCCAAGATCTCATATCCAGTAATAACAACCATAAAGCAAACCCTTTCCTGGTGGTTACCCTAGGTAGCACCATTCTGAGGGCTTTCCATGCATTATCTAATACAGTAGTCCTAATACATCTGTAAGGTGGATACCATTACCATACCCGCTTGACAAATGAGGAAAATACAGTGCAGAGAAATTAAGTCATTTGTCCAGACCACACAGCTGGTAAGTGGCAGAGATTTGAAGCCAAGCAGAGCCCTCCCTGTTCTTCTAATGCTACGCCAACCCTCTTCCATTGGTGGTATTTATCCAGCACTCTGTGTGTCTAAGTGAATTTTCTAGATAAATGTTAACTTCCTTAATACATACTGATACATACTTCTTTCAAATTAATTAACTTCCAATCTTTTGGCAAAATACACTAAATACTGTGTAACTTTCTCCTGATGGCCTAGGGTTCAATGTTCCAGTTGCTGAGCCTTATCTGTTCTATTATCTATTATTTTTAATTTGTATAGAAAATTTTTTTTACAGTCTCTTTTCTTGATACAAACCAGCCAGTTATTGTTTTGTCACTCTGACCCTGCTGACTACTTTGAAGCTAGAATATGCTATGTCGAATAAAAATAACCCGAATATGAGATCTAATAAGCTGAGTACATGACCTTTATTATAATAACTGTTATACTTTTAGCTGAGATGAGGAGAAAACATAAAAATATGAGCAATTGTTTTGCTAAATGAGAAATAATGCTAATACTGCTCATATACACGTTTTGGGTTTATTATTTTTTTTTAATCTTGATACCTGTCAGGCATATCATGAGGTCACTTTCCTCTGAAAGGTTGAATCTTCCAAAACTGGAAGACTCATTCCCAAGACCAAGCCACACACACCATCCTCAAACTAACATTTTCTATTCTCTCCTTCTGTTTTATTTTTCCCTGATTACTTATCTCTCTCCCCTAAGTGGAACATACTACAAATAGTTAACTTTTACATGAAACATCCTCTGTACCCACTGGTGTTCTAAGAATCCTATCTGTGTTAATTCATCCGGTGTTCACAACCACTAGGTTTTTACAGGTGAGGAAACAGGTGCAAAAATTAAGGAACTCATCAGAGGTCCCATATCTAATAGTGGAGGAACTAGAATTTGAAGGAGCTAGGCACTTTGGCTAAAGAATCTGGGCCCTGTGAATTCTGCTCCACTTCCCTGAGAACAGTGATGGGAATGATGCCTTTGTTCTGTTCACAAATGAAAACCCAAGTGCTAATTTATTAAATGTCTGCAAGAACTTCTAGCTCCTCTCTGCTACCCAAGTGCTCAACTCAGTTCACTGTGCCTTCAAAGTTTGACTGGCTCCAATAGGCAGAGTAACTTCTAGACCCTTCTTTCACTTTCTAAATTACTCTACTGGTTACACTTTCTTTTGACCCACCAGCTAAGGAGCTGGCATGAAGCCCTGGACCCACCCAATGGTCAATATATACTCAATGAATGAATGAGTATCTTACCTATGTCAGAGCTGTTGCCATACACAAAAGTTCTTGGTCAAGTGGTATAATGACATGATGGGGTCCTAGAAATTGCTCTTGACAGAATCAAAAGATTTCTACTTTTTGTGAACTGACCATGGAAATAGCACAAATTCCAACTTTCAGTGTTTTTAGTTTTGACTAGTATAAGGTACTATGCACCTGATATAGATTATTCACATTTCATCTTTAAAACAATACTACGAGGTAGGTGCTATGATGGGCCCATTGTACTCGTGAAAAAAGATGACTAGAAACTAAGTAACTTGTTATGGGCCACAGAGCTAAAATTCAGGAGCTAGTGTTAAGAGCCACAGCCAAAGGGGCCCCAGCACACTTCCAGGTCTTGGAAAGCATACTGCACTGTCATTCTCTCTTTAATAATCTTATGGTATGTATGATGGAATCTTACAGCTACCATCACATGTGTTATGGCATGAAACTATAGTCTGTGAATTGAAATGGTTTCCACCCACCAAGGGTAAGCAAAAGTTTCATTGGCCAGAAGTGATCCTGATTTTTCTGAAACTACCTGTCATGAGAAAACAACTCCTCATTTTTTGGAGATTCATTCATTTAGTGAGCATTTGTGGAGTACCTGTCACTTGCCTGGTGATACAACAATGGTAAGTAAGATTGACACAGTTCTGCCTTCACAGACACGGCTCAAAGGAAGAAGCAGAAAAGTAATTAGGCGACACACAGAAAATGCTTGGGGGATGAGAGCAGTAGGGAATGGGGGGGAAAAGCGCGTGAGGAATGGTGGGGTCCATTTCAGGCTGCTTAAATGACAGGTTAAAAAACGCGGTAGGAGAAAACATGGCATATCCTGGCAACAACCAAGCTAATGGAAGGCCTGAGGACTATATTTAGGGTAATGGGGAATAACTGCATGACTTCAAGCAGGGAAGGGAGACACCCTGATTTTTTTGTTTTGCTTTTTGGTGCTGAGGATTGAACCCTGGGCCTCGTGCATGCAAGGCAAGCACTCAACCAACTGAGCTATAACTTCAGCTCCTGACACCCTGATTTTTAAAATATCAGTCTAATGACGGGAAGAAAAATGAATTAGATAGGGACACACTAAAATCAGGGGAGACAGACAGTTGTCAAATACTGTAACCAATGGATTAGTGGAATTTGTTAGATAGGAAGAATGGAGATGCAGGAACTGATTCAACATCTATTAAGAATATATATCCTTTAAAATTGAGAGAGATGTCGAAGAAGAGGCATTGTCACAGATGCTGCCCAGGATGTGGTTTTAGGGAACTGAGCAGATGATGGGGGTCAAAGATAGGGAATCTCAGGGCAGTAGCAGGCTGGTGGGGGGTGGGCCGAGATGCCATGTAGGTTGGTGGAGCTAACTGGCAGTCGGGTCTTGGAGTCTGGGGCATAGGAGAGCAGGTTTAGGCTGGAGGCAGAGGCTTTCTAGCCATCAGCAGAGAGATGGTGCCTGAAGACACAGCAAGTGGGAGGGCTCACCCAGACTGAGCAAAAAAGCCCAGGGGCAAAGAGCGGCAGCACGTGAAGGGAAAGCAGAAAAGAAATGTTCATAAAGGAGATCAAACTGAGCTTCCAGAGGCATGGGAGCAGATTGGAACAGACACACTCAGACTCCATTTAACTCCTTGATTCCAAGGTTGTGGATGGCTCTTTCCGCCCGTCCATCCGTCCAACACAAACCCATCTGCTTTGAGGAAAATGGGTATAGTGACTCCCCTTCCCAAGCCAGCCCGCATTCTCTTCCCCGCCCCCCGTGGAGTGAAGCTAGCTCCCGAGGCTGCGGGCCGCCGCTCCACCCGGACCTGAGAGTGACTCCCTGGAGACCCTGCTACAAACCGCACGCCGGCACAGCGGAGCACCTGCTCCCGCCCCACTCACCACGCGGGAGGGACGGTCCCTCCTTCAGGACAATCTCCAAACCGTCGTCATCTTTGATGCTGCTGCTACCCGCTGCTTCGGGTCCCACCCTCCCCCTAGCTCTCTCCGGGTCCCCTCAACCTCTGGAGCACCTCAGCCCGCTGCACCGTTGGTTTTTCAATCAAATCTTCCTTCATGCCACCAACCGGCGCTGGCTGAACCAATACCGAGGCATCTTCCTCCACCTTGCCGAGCGCCTCAGCCAATCCGGAAGGGCCATGCTGCAACGTGCAGAGCGCCATAGCGACTGGTGACGCCTGCCAGAGTTGCCCTAGCAGCCAGAGAACGCTCAGGATCCAGCCCCAAGCTGCAGGCACAAGAGGTGGCAAGAATTGCTTAGCACTCTACTGCAGTCTTTGCCTGGACATTGAACAATCTATGAACAGGTCTCCCAATCTGTGCAGACTTTCCTAGACTTCTGATGCCTAATCTTTAGCAACTGAAATAAAATGGGTGGGAAAGAGCAATCTGGGGGTATTTCGGGAAATGCTGTCGACTTGAAATCAAATTGATTCTCTCCCAAAGCAAAGATCTAATTTGAAAAGGAAATCAATGCAACATGCTACTCATATGGCACAAAAACATTCTCAGTTGAGCATGCTGCATCTCGGGCAATGAGAAAATGGTGCTGTGAAAATAAATGACTTAGGATTCAAGAGGTCTTTATGTTACAACTAACACTAGTTCATTTTATGTCCTTGGGCAAGTCACTTCGCCTTTTGAAATCTGCAGATTCTTAAAGAAAAATTCAACTGCATTAGATAAAGGAATAAAAGGATACAAACAGCATGGAGCTTTAAGTATCAAATTTATTGAGTGCTAAATTTTGTCCCAGATATATTCCGAGTTATTTCCTCATATTATTTCACCCACTCGTCACATCCTTTTTTCATCCTAGAATTGTAAACAAATTGCCTGAAGAGTCCAAAGTGATGTACATGATGGAGACAGTAGAACCTATGCTGTGACTGTCTAGAGTCCTGTCTTATCCACAAGGATGCTCCCTTGACAATTTATTCAGGTATAGTCCTAACTCAATCCTACCTTAACATCCCTCAAAATGAACATTAAGTGTATCAGCACTTGACAAAATCTCCCAACCTTGATTTAAAATGAATATGGTGCATCCTTCCCTAATATTTCTCTGATATGAATAATAAGTGAACCCAAAGATACATCGATACTTCAGGTTGTGTATTGTGAAAGTATTCTTATTAAAGAAAATAAAAAGAAAAACAAAAGGGAAAAATCCTATTTCAGGAACATAGAAAAGGGATGAAAGCCAAATACAGGTGAATATACCAGAACTAACTAAGCTTCAGGGGACATAAAACCACCAGGATTAATGCTGCTCTTCAAAAATGGGTACACTATTTATTTCAGTGTCTTTTCTGATTCTGCTTTTTCTCTTCATCTAAAGTATACTGGGAGGTAAGAGGCAGAAACCCCTCATTTTCCTTCCTCTCCTACCCCATATATCAAGCTGAGAAAGCTATGCCACTCTTGGAGTACAAAGTCAAGACAATAACCAACAACTAATTAAGTAGACTTTTATTGCTCTTTCAACTTCAATAACATCTACAAAAAAATAGTTTTCTTCTAACAATTATGAAACAAATTTGAAAGGCAGGATCATTCACATTATAGACTTGGGTAGAGACTTGTACTTCATAAAAATGAAATATAACAGTTCTACAATTTAATGTTTAATTTACTTTGGATTTTATTATAAAAGAAAATATCACTGTAATTATAAAAGTCATAAAAATTGTTAACTGTACTGTGAAATTACACCAAGGTATCAAATATTACACAAATGAACAATAAAATTCAATTTTTAAATGTAGTAAACACTGGAAGATGCCCTCCCTCCTGCAAAAACAAAAACTTTGATAAAGCAACAAAAAGCCACAGCACAAAAACCAATCAATGTGCAAAAAATTATGATTAAAAAAAAACTGGGGCTTAACAAGTACTCTAAATATGAGCTAATTAAATTTTATTTTAAAGATAATCTTTAGATGATTCCATTTCCAACCGTTTTCCTGTAATTGACACTTATTTTACTTTCTAAAGTTAGAAAAAAGACTTTACATTAAAATTGCCAAATCTTAAAATTTGAACACCACTTTAAACCTTGAATGTCTTTAAAGACTTTTTAAATTTACTTTCTAAAAATAAATACTTGTTGGAATAAACAACAGGGCATTTCACTTATTTGCACTGCATACGATAACAATGATGTGATCTACATAAATAAATTTAAAATATTGCTATTTAATATAAACATTTTGAATTACAATGTTATATCCATGGCTTACATATCCAAAATCTGAGCACTTTAAAAACAGGATTCACCAACTGTTGAGCACATTTACAGAACTCATGTACATGACATAATCCTCTAACTAGCAAGCTCTGGTGGTATACCTCAATTTCAGAGACCATTTTTCTTCTTACAGAATTTTGAACCTGCCTTTGTGAAAGGAAAAAGTTAGAAAGCTATTTTATTCACACAGATACTCTGAGTATGTGGAAGAAACAAGAAATGTTTTTTTGGATGTAGAAAACAAAAGTTATTAAGTCTGAGTGGTAAACAAATCTTTATAAATACATGCATTAGCACATAAAAATTATATCCTACACGTTTTACAGAAGACTTGGCAAATATGAACATTGGTACGCCACATCTTTAAACAACCTAAGAGATTTAAGATTGATAATATCACACACATACACACACAACACACTCACTCAATACACTTTTGAAAGACTGTGCTTCATTTCGACATACCTAGTATTATTAAAAAATATATAGAATCATCCTTTTATCATAAGGAAGTTTCATTCATTGTTTTCTCAAAAGCTGCTATTTTAGATTGAAACAGCCATCAGAAGAAAGTAAATTTCAAATGGTCAACATCAGAATTTATTATAGTCTTTGTAAACAGACATCTATAAATAAATAAAAATATGGTGGAGAAAAGAATATCCTGAGGCGGCTCTATGGCCAGGGTATTCAGTAGCACTAAGCTCTATTCTGAAAATCAAGGCATCTAAGAAAGTGCAGGGCTGTTTATTTGAATTTATTTTGTAAATGGAATATGTACAGGTTTAACTATTTTGCACCTTGAGGTAAATCAGTACATAGCAATTACCACTGCTCATATACACCTATTTAAGGCAACATTTAAAAATCACTATATATAGTAAATTATATCTTTCACTGTCTTGTAATGAATGCTGTCCATGATTGTAATTTTCAAAAAGTGGAAGAAATACCATAATCACTTAAAACAAGCAGTCAATTACTTAAACATGAGTTTACCTTCGATCTTCAATGGAGGAGTAGTCATATCATATCATTTTGCAAGTCAAGTAGTCAAAAGCAAGCAGAAACCAATAAGGAATCAGAAACACCGTAAAATATTTTGAACGCAAAGAATTTTGCAAGTCATGGTTTTTCTGGCACTGGACAATTACTATACATAATTAAATAAAATCACAGAAACACTATATCCCAGGTAGTTTTCAGTTTAAATTTTAAAAATCACTTCCTGTAAAATAAGTACAGTTGCTAACCCTTTGATGTCCAAACACAAGGAAATGATGTGAGGAAATCCTCTAGTTTAGATACATCAAGGTATTTTTAAAAATAGCAGCAGATACCGGGACTTTGGAAATGACTATGCTGCTATGAATGAAAAGGAACCACTGAAATGGAAGCTCATAACAATAATCAGCACCATGGGTAATACTCTCCATCAATTGCCAAGAGTCTAAAACTCTTTTTAGGCAGTACCAAATGATGCCATCTACAATTTCTAAAGAAAAAGCAGCTAGATTTCCAACATCTCATCTGAGGCAGAAGTTGAATCTATTATAAACTCTGACAAAACAGTCTCAGATGGGGAAATTACAATAGTTATTATTTAGTTCAGAATGGATCTAAACACCTCAGAATTGCTAAAATACCAGCTTTTGGCATTTCTCATGATCTTCTATAAGATCAATTACTCATACTTTTATACTTTCATTATAAATTAAGAATAAAGGGAGCATTGGAATTACATTAAATTTTTCATCTTAATATTCATGTCACCATCTTCAGTATTTCTATGGCTTCTCAATATTTACTTGGATTTTGTAAATTATTCTCTTGCCAAATCAGTTTTACAACCCCATTCATCCAGTCCTACAGGCTTCACAAGAACATTTATTTATTTTGTGTGGAGCTAAGAGTATATAAAAGATAGCTAAAACAATTTTCTAGAAGTTAAAAAGGCAGCTCAGAAAAACTAAGTAACAAACACTAACACAAAATAGGAAGAATGCCATCAATCTGAGCTATATATAAAATGTCTAATTTCCTTTTAAAATAGAAATATGGCAGTGCTTTATATCAAAGATGTGAAATCTGTCAACTGCTTTTAGATAATAAACATAAATGCAAGTGAGCACCAAGTATTTACATTAATGATTTACTCTCTATGTATTACCTTTTCAAATGTTTTTATAATATTTAAGTATCATATCAATTAAAATAAATAAAATATTTTTAAATGAAATTGTGTTTAACCACCTATTAAATACAATCTATGCAAAAGAAAGAATTAACAGAAAGCAAAAGGTCAGCCTTAATAATTAATACTGATCACAAACCCATTCGAGAGAATTCTGACTCCTGATTATTTAATCATACTACTTAAAGCAAGAACTTGAACCTGATATAAACTAAACTACTTTCAGAGAGCAATGGTAAAGAACAGAGTGGAAATTGTGGATTTTTAAAAAGTACAGCTATTAGAAAATAATTTCTACAAAGGTAGCAAAATTTAATTACTGCAAACTGGTATTTTATAGTTTCTAAAATTCATGAAGTTACCAATGGTGCAGGTGCTATTACAAATCATTTGCAATTTTACTTGACTGTCAGAAAGGAACCCTAGATATTAAATTTTAAGCTTTAAAAAAAAATTCCTAAAATATAAAGGTAAAAAACTATAGTTTCCTTTCTAGAAAGTTCCCGATTGACCTCTATGGTCAAGAAAATTCCATCACTTGTGAAACATGATGGACTCTACATAATGAAATGCATGGAGAAGCCATGGCATAGTACTTTACCATAGCATGGGCATA